CCATGTGGGCTTTGTTGCTTCTGAGCTAGATGGCCGCTTGTTTACCTTCAAGCTTTTAAGACCCCAGACGCTATATCTTTTGCAGGCGACAATTGATGCCAAGACACATAAGGAAGCCCAAGGAATTCTGGGCCTACAAAAATAGAAAGCCCTCCCCTAGTACTAGTGTCATGAAGTTTACACGTCCACCCACCCAAACTGGGAGAGAGTACATTTCTGTTTGTTGAAACTATCCAGTTGTAGCAGCTCTAGATAACTAAGGCAGTGCTATATTTTATTAGAAGCTTTTAATAAAGCACCGGCTCCCTTCGGCTCTACCCCTGGCTGTATCTCAAGCTCTTTGCATTATTAGTTCACCTTGATATTACCCTGGTCAAAGAAGCAGAGGGCAGGACGTAGCACTGTCTTGATAAGTTAGAGTGGATACACACACACACACACACACACACACACACACATACATACCACAAGTCGGTGGCTTTACATTCAAATCACAGCATTAGGAGGAGGTCCTTCCTTACCAAGTTCAGCTTCTGATAGCTGCCAGCTCTCCTTATAAAAGGAACTGTCTCCAAAATCCACCTTCACCGTCCCCCTGTATGTGTCTTTGTGTCTCTGCTGACATTTTCAAACTCAGCGTGAGATGGTTTTAGGAGCCACCCTACCCTAGCATAACCTGAACCGATCACTAATCAGACTACCCTATGGAAAGTGGTTACCCTACATCCCACTAGATGTCGGGTAATATCACATTGGCTTTCATTATGGATGGTGGTTGGCTCTACTGAGGCTAACCGATCTAATCACATGTAACTTCTCATGTAACTAGGAGTTACTTCTCATGTAACTTGCAGTTAGACCAGCATTTGGCCACATAGCTGGGAATCAATGACTTGCCATTTTGATACATGAAATTAACCACCGCAAGCACCAACAACCTGGCTCCTGGCTCATAAGATTTCATAATTAACAGTCAATTTCTAAACTCTGCTTATAGCCAAACACTCTAGCTGACTGGCAGACAAAAGCTGAGTCAATGTGAGCATGTCAAGACAAATTTCACACAATTTTAGATCACTGTGGGTGGTGCCGACAAGGCAGCAGTTAATGACTTCAGCTATGCAGAGTGCTATCAAATTCTGTTCTGACTGGGACAGAGTGAGGAAAGTGCAGAGATCAGAATTACTGAGCCTTCCTTCAAGTGGCATTGAGGGAAAAGAACAGTGTCTGTCTCCCAGCGAGCATCCAACCATCACCCTACCCTCTTCTGCCAGGCCTCTAGACAAGCTGGCGGGCAGGGAGCTCGTGGTCAGACTGTAAGCTGGAGTCTTCCCTCTGGAGGAGAAGGGCAAACTGCTGTCTTTGAGGCGACCGCACAGGTGACAGGGAAGCAGGCAGCTCCAGGCGGTGCAGCCTCCCTCCCACACCAGTGGCAGTCTGCAAAGAGGCTTGGATGGGATGAGGCACCAGGGATGGCGCTTGGGCAGCCTGAGTCAGGCAAAGCAGCCGGCCAGGGAACAAGTCCCTCGATCCCTGCTTCAATCTCCTCCCTATTTAGTTCTTCTTTGCACCAGTTAACACAGACACAACGTTGGACTAGAATACACCCCCCACCCCCGCCAAATTACCTATAAAAATAGTTAACACGTGCAACTGCTAAGTCCTGGTGAGCAGAATACATGGAAGTCCATGTCTGCAGATGCAGTTAGGTTAAAATAGAAAATCTTATCATTTGATCTCCCAAATTAAAAAATTTGTTCTATATTTTAATCTTCTTCTGCTTTCTCTTTGATTGAGGTTTTATTTGTTTTGTTTTATTATTGTTGTTAGGCTTTAAAAATGTGTTTCTGTAGATGAAATCCAACATAGGTAAATCGAGAGAGACCGTAACCGGATGAATGGTTCTTTGGGGGCCTGGCAGGAGAGGTGGAGGGGAAACGAGGGGCTCATTTAAGGATGCATGAAGAAAATGTTCTACAACTGATGTGGTGAGGATTGTACACCTCTTCTGATATGTGACTTCTATGCCAATAACACTGTGTAAAATGGGGTGACAATCTGTTTGTTTATCATTACACAGTATAGACTCTAGGGCTGGACCTTCTAGTTTTGAATCTCAGCATCTTGTAGCCACTGCACAGGCAGTGCCTTGGGAGAGTTCATTCCAACTGTACTTGTTCTGAAAGGAGTCCTGGTAGTGCAGGGGTTAAAGTGCTCGGCTGTGAAGTGGAGTCAGCTGTTCAAATTCACCAGTGGCAGTCTGTGCCGAGAAGGATGCCAGCCCTGGAATCCCTGTGGGGCGGGTCTACTCTGTCTTATTGGGATGCTAGGAGTCGTTAGTTGACTCAACGGTAAAGGAGTTCTTGTCTGTTCCGGAGGCATCTGTGGCTCAGTGTTAGAATTCTCACTTTACAGTAAGAAACCTAAGTTTGATTTCTGGCCAATAGCTGCCATCCCTCTGTCAGTGGAGGGATGCAAGTTGCTATAATGCTGTACGGGTTTCAGCAGAACTTCCACATTAAGACAAACTAGGAAGAAAGGCCTGGTGCTCTTCTTCCGAAAATAGGTGAATGCAAACCTTATGTCCCACAACTACTTGGTCTTCACCCAATGCTGGGGATGGCGCCGGACTGGGCAGGGTTTCTTTCCACTGTGGGTGAGGTACCCAACTATCAACAACATACCTGGATGGTGATGTTTTTATTCCTGACATTTCCCTTTGGGTGTGACTTTGATTGTTGCAAAAGGTACCTTTCCTTCAATAATGACTTCTCCAAAAACTCACTGCCACCGAGTCAGTACTGACTCACGGCGACCTTATAGGACAAGGTAGCACTGCCTTGTGAGTTTCTGAAACTGTTAGCTGTTCATGGCAGTAGAAAGCCCCATCTTTTCACCGAGGAGCCCCTAGTGGCTTGGAACTGCCGACCTTGAAGATCGCAGCTCAGTGGCATAACCACTGTGCCACCGGGGCTCCTACTGCGAGGCATTTTGGAGAGGGTTCTCTTGGGAAAATAGTTTCTGCAGGTTCTTCTCCAGGAGTTCTTCTCCAACTGCGAACTCCATAAATGGAAAAGCTGTATTTGACCAAAGGGAAGGGGGAGCCCTGAGCTCAAACCATAAGTCAATTGCACTCTGAAGATTTTAAGAGTGTCTATTCCCAGAGCTAGAAGCAAGGTGCCGAGATAGGACATCAAATGCAAATGAGGAGTTGAAAGAGTCCGGGCATAACTTTGGGTTGGAAAATAACCTGGAAGTCTAAACTGAGTTGGTTCCAACGGTCAAGAGTTCCAACATGGCTTCTTTGGTGCTGACATTGGAAATTTGGTATTGAGTCTCCATATGACCCTGAGAATTGCCCGGCGGCCAGAGAGATCCCTCATTTGGAGCAGGGCAATTTCGTGTACCTCAGGAGATTTTTTTCACCCCCCTAAACATTGGGTGCAGCATCAGGGACTGCTATTGATTTTGCTTCGTGTTGTTTTCCTTGCCAGGCCTGCTGGAACCATTACATAACATGATATCCAGGTGTTGTAACCTCTCCATCCAGGGAACAACTCAATGAAGCATGCTATGTAACTGAGAAATCATCTAATCGCTAGACCAGACTCTTACTTCATTGAAGCGCCTCCTTATGGAGTCCACCGGTCAACCTGTTTCATTCTGTGAACTACGAGTGTACCTTCGAGGTTGGCATTAGATATGGTTCTGTTAGGGCTGGGAGGGTGTGGATCATCTCTCATCCTCCTAAGGCATCTCGGTACAGATGGGCTTACCTGGAAAATGTTGGCAAAATCTCTGAGGTTGAAGATGTAGTGGAATTTGACGGCAGTGGGCAGGAATGCGGTGGCCACTCTCTGGTGGAAAGTGAGGGCCAGGTGGATTAGCTGTGGGATGGATTTCTGCAGTGGTGCTGGGAAGTTCCCAAGCTTCAGATGCTGACTCAGGATGGTGCTGTAGATGGAGGACAGAGCATCCTCTCCCGGGAACGAGAGCACAAACACGCTGAAGTGACGCTGAACAAGGAAACAAAGGTACGGGGGAAGGCCCTGGGTTGAATATCCCCTTTCTTGGAAGAAGAAAATCACTTTTGCTAGATTTGGATAAAATCATAGAAAATTCTTATGAGAACTATGCACTGTGAGGGTTTTGCGTTCTACCTCTGGCCATATCTCAGACACTAAACTGAAATGGGAAGGTTGAGTCTACAATCTGGTGGAGATACTGGCTTTCGACTTTTGCCCAAAGTTGACAGGATGGGGTTAGTAGGAAGAGAGGTCAATGTGGAATCAGATACATTCATACAACAACCTTGGAAATGTGATTTCATGTCTCTGAAGTCCTCTCGCATGGAATTGGGGGTAGTTAGAGCTGATGACCTGTCTGTTGGCCTCTCCAGCTCCAAAGACTTCCCAGGTCTAGGCGTAAGTTAGCATCCTGCATGACTTACCACTGTGAGAGGCTGGGCGGTGTAAGGGCCAGTTGTAAATCATACTCAGTATCAGTCATGGTAAGGTTTGTCTTTTGTTTGCTTTTTGAGGACCGGTAAGCCCTGGCTCCTCCCTTACCTGGAGCCGTGGGTTGATGGTGAAGCTGCCTGCAGTGGGGTTCATGCAGGAAACATACTGCACATTCATGATCTCCTTTAGGAAGAGCTTGTTCCTGTCATACCTGCAACAGTTAGAAACGATGAGTGAGAGTTGTATAAGGGCTCACCCAGGTGAGTTCCAAGACTGTCCTATCAAGGTGAGCTAGGGTGTGCCTTAGCTTTCCTGTGTTTGAGAACTAAAAACTTAGATCTACGGATGTGATTAAAAGAGATAGGGAGCTAAGACAAAACTCTCAAGAAACGAGTATACAAGGAAATACCATAGGAAGGAGAGACCACAAAAAGGACAACCAGGGAGGCGTGGCACCCATGAATCCCAAGGTAGCCATCCTTTCCAACAGGGCAGAGCAGCCAACCGCCTCAGGTACTGCAGATACAATAGGAAAGATGGCAACTCCAAGGGGCCCACTGGGCTCAGCCATGAAGACGCAGGTAGTTTTTCAGGTATAGTTCAGTACAGTGGAGGGAGTTGGAAGCCAAACAATAGTCAATCCTGGAGTGAGTGGGGAATAAGAAAATGGAAACAGAGAAGTTTGGTTGGGTAGGGGATAGGAGACAGGATAAAGTGAGAGAATGAATGATTTTTGCAAGTTTAAAGCCTGATGTGAAGGAGCCCACTAGGGGAGAAGGCTTCCAGAGGTGGGGGAGCATAGGGCAGCTGTTGATGGTTAAGCCTTAGGCCAGATGCAACAGGCCACCCCCATTTGTCCGTTGTTGCCAGGCCATCATCTTCTGTGCTGAAGCAATGCCACCTCAAATACTAGTCGGGTCACCCCTGGTAGACAGGCTTCAGAGAAGCTTCCATGGGGATGCATGGTGTCCATGTTTACTATGGCCGTGAGTCAGCTGAGGTGCAGTGGGAGTTTGAGGAGAAAGAAGGCATGGGAGACCATGGAAGCGCCAGCTCTCTGAGTGCAAACATAAACACACTCAGGAAACATGTGAGAAGTTCCAGGAAGTTACTACTTCCCATTTAAGGTGGTACTCGTTTTAGGCGTGGGATCTAAAACCAGGAGCCCTAGTGGCACAGTGGTTAAGCACTGGGCTGCTAACTGAAAAGGTGGTGGTTTGAATCTATCAGCCACTTCCAAGCAGAATGAAGTGACATTCTTCTGCTTGCATAAAGACTCCCACCTTGGAGACCCTATGGGGCACATCTCGTCTGTCCTATGCGCTTGCTGATCGACCTCCAACTCAATGGCATTGGATTTGGTCTTTTGGTTTGGGACTGAAAGCCACATCCCCAAGTCTGTGGAGAGCTAGCCTTGGAAACGCACAGGGGTGGTTTTCCTCTGTGCTATAGGGCTGCTAAGAATCAGGATGGCAGAGATTTGTTTCGGTGACTTGATCCCAGTTTTTCCAATGATAGAGCAGCTGCTGAAACACCCATGTGGAGATGGTGGGTAGGTGACTATGGCAGGCATCCAACAGAGACTTCAGGGATGAAGGAGAGCTCACTGAAATGACCATCCCAATTGTGATTCCTCTCTCAATTCCCTCTGCCAATGTGCCATTCTTTCTCAGCAGCTGTGAGGTGGAACGGTGAGCCAAAGTTGCCTCACACTACTGAATTGCTTCTCTCTCTCTCTCTTTTTTCCCCCTGGAATGTTCAGAACTTTGGGCATTAAACACTGTTTTTATTGTAAGAGATACAGATCCTGGAAACTCTCTGAAGCCCCTCTGCCTGCAGACACATGTGTACTGTACTATCCAGTGTCGTCACTGAAGGGCTTCACTCAGTGCTCCAAGCCCATGGTGGAGCTCAGTAGTGCCGGGGGTTAGGTGTTGGACTGCTAACCCCAAGGCTGTCAGTTCAAAGCCATCAGCCACTCCATGGGCGAAAGAACAGCTAGGTGCTCCTGCAAAGATGCAACGTTGCAGAACCCCTATCTGTGTAGTTCGCTCTGAGTCAGGACGGACTCAATGGTAGAGGTCTACCTGGGCATCATGAGTGTGGTTAATTCTGCCCTGGGGACTTGAGGACCATTTCTAGAATTCTTGGGTGGTGCAAATGGTTGTAAACCAGAAGGTGGAAGTTTCTAGGCCTCTCGGAGGTGCCTTGAAAGAAAGTTCTGGCGATCTCTGTTCAAAGGGCCACTGATCGGAGAACCCGAAGGAGGGTGATTATACTCTGACATGCATGGAGGTCACTGGGAGTTGGCGCTGCCTTGAGAGAAAGTGGGTTCTGGAGAAGGCAGCCTATGAGATGAGCCTGAAGGGAAGATAAAGCGTTTTGTGTGTTGTTTTTAGACTGAGACTTCAGTCCTTTCTCTGGCCACAGTTTTCATATGGCTGTCAGCGGCCCTACCTGGGAAAACAAAAACACTCCAGAGAACAGAGAAGCCAATAGTGAGCCTGGTTTACCATGGAGCGGCGCACCTGGCACTTCCCCTGGCCTGCCATGCTTGTCTTCCGCATTGCCTCAGACCTGATCCCTGGCCCACAGCCCCTTTGGCTGTCTGTTCTTACCAGTGGCCATAGTCCAGGTGCTGCCGGATGACGGTGTGGGGTTGCACAGTCCCGTAAGCATCCACCTCAGGCATATTCATGTCATCAATGAAATAGATCAACTTCTTGTTGCCTGGAGGGCCATAGTTCCTGCCAGCCTTCTTCTCCAGAGACTTCTCCAGGACAGCTGTGGAGGGAGGCGGTTAGTGAGAGAAGGAGCTTCCACCTGTAGATGCTAACACGGAGACAATACGTCTGTCAAAGGCAGGCCACCGTACAGAGCACCCACAGCAACCACTCAGTCCAGGCTTCCTGCAGGACCAGACGCCATACAGGCCATGAAGTCCCTAGTGGCACAAATGGTTAAAGTGCTCAACTGCCAACTGAAAGGATGATGGTCTGAGTCCAACCAGAGGCACCTTGGGAGACAGGCCTGACCACCTATTTCTGAAAAATCCAAGGGAGCACCATTCTACTCTCACCACATGAGGTCATCAGGAGTCAGGGCTGAGCCCACAGCCACTGGCTTAATCGCTGCGATAGTAATCAGGCAGTATATACCGCAATATAGAAATATCTAATTGCTTTACCAAAGGTGGGGGAATACATATCTTTCTCCACTCTATGACTTAAACTTGTCCTCAACAAATCTTGCCAGGCTGGATCTCTGTGCTGTTTGATTCCTTCTCTGTGGCTTGGTAATCGGGGAAACAACCACAGAAGAGAATCTCTGAGGGTATGGAGATGTTCAGTTAGGGGCCAGGATACCCCAAGGCAGGGGGATGGCACCATTCACGAGCACAGGGATAGCTGGGAGATTCTCCAAGGTTCCTGCTTCTACTCCTTCTCAGTGAAAACCCCCCACCGCTGACAAAATAGCCAGTACTGATTCGTCACCACAGAGAGCAGAGGGGCCTCCACCTGGCAGGCTGGACAGTAGGACACTCATGCCTCTCTGCTGTCTTTGGTTGGCAGGGTGGGTCTAAGGACAGAGACAATAGTCTTTGGTTGTTTCTTCCATTATCAAGTCACAGAGAAGGAATCGATTGGCACAGGTTTGCAGCCTGACAAGACTTGTTCAGGACAAAATGGAGTGGAGAGAGGTGTATATGCTTCCCCTTTTGGAAAAGCAATGAAATATTTATATATTGCAAGAACCAACACTTCCTATTACAGCTGGAAGCTCTAAGCACCATCTGATTTCTTCTTTGAAAAACAAGTTTGTAAACAAGGAGAACGTGTTAATAGACAGTTGAAGGTGACAGATCGGAAGACGAGTCCCTTCAAGAAGGTTGAATATTCAAATTTTCTGGTCCTGAGTTAAATTAAGTGTTTCAAACATGAATTAAATTTAAATTTAATTAGCATCCAATTAACATACACTACCAACCAATTAATCACCCAACACTCTCCTTCTCCCTATCTAAAGATGTTACAACTAAATGCAAGATCTGTCAAAATGAAATATAATTAATGGGTTGCCAAGGACAAGCTTTGGAGAACAGTCTTTCTAAGAGGAAACTTTCTCCTTAGGAAAACGGGCTTCTTCTCCTCTAAAGGTAGCGATATTCAAATAAACCCCTGGAATTAAGCAGACCCTGTAAATTTGGTGGATTAAACTCTTTATGCTTCTAAACGATTGTTGAGGAGAAACACAGGTCAGCGAGCAAGTGGCCTTGGAGAGCACCAGAGTATCTCAAATGGAAGATGAGAAATTCTTCAGGGAATGGAGGACTCCCTACGGAAAAGCAGACCCATTACTGAACTCTTCTTGGCCAGGTTCAGCTCCATGTCCCATCCAGGATAGTGGCATTGAGTCATTGTTTCCAGGGAGAACTGGGGAAGCCAGTGAGTTTAATTTTTCAGCCAAACGATTTTTGTTGAAAGGTCTGAGGTAGATAAAGAATTGTGACCCTCTCACCACTTTTCTGAGTTCTGCATTGCCATACACAAATCCAGAGAGTTAAGCCCATACCTGTACACACTCTTGATGTGTACCATCTGGCTGAATTTGTGCCTTACAGTTCAGTCTGTGACCATATGAAGCAGCTATTTCACCAACATCTCTTTCTATCCACGCCATTCCTCCTACACCATTTTCACACCTCTTTTAGGAACCGCGATGGCACTGTGGGTGTGGCACTGGCTGATAACTACGAGGAGATTGGCACTATACAGGAGAAAGATGAAGCTGTCTGCTGGAGTACAGATTCCTGGTCTCGACCCTCTATCAGGCCGCCATGAGTTGGAATCCACTTGATGGCAGTGAGTTTGGTTTTGTTCACATTTGACGCAGGAGACAGTTTCCAATGTGGTTTTCCATTTGTTATCCCTTGTTGCCATCTCACTGCTCTTCCTGGGCCATCAGTCAGCTTCTACCGGGTCACTACGACATCCTTCTAATTTCTCTCTCTCTTTTCACCCTAACTTCCCTTCAGTATCTTCTCAAAGCAGCAAACAGGGGTTATCCTTGAAAACTGTAAATCAGATCATGTCTGTAGCAGCATCTCCTCTCCCTTGGAACAAATGCCGGCCTGGCCCTCCACAAACCTTGCATCTAGATTTTTCTCTCTTGAAGCTCCTACTGGCCTCATGCCCTTTTCACGGGCCATGCTACTTCTGACATCCTGGGCACTCACTCCACAGGACTCTCATATCCTCTCCTCCCAATTCCAGACTGGTTTTCTCCCTCTCCCTCCATCATTTACTAACTGCTGTTTTCTCACTGGGACTTTCACTACCTTCTCTATAAAATGAAATTCCACCGCCCACCCCATCACGCTGTCTGTATCTCCATAACACATCACCACACGCTGGTCATTTGATTTACTAAGGGGCTACCATTTGCTAAGTCAAGAAAGTTGAATAGAAAATTTCAAAGGGCATCTCAAGAAGACAAAGTCAAATATTATCATGAAATGTGAACAGTCCTAGAGTTAGAAAACCAAAGGGGAAGAACGTGCTCAGCATATCTTAAACTGAAGGGACTTAAGAAAATTTCAAACGTCGAGTTGCAATATTGAAAGATTCTATGGGAAAATATTGGATGATGCAGAAAGCATCAAAAGAAGATAGACTACAAAGTCAGTGTACCAAAAAGAACTAGTTGGCATTCAATCATTTAAAAAGGTAGCATGTGAGCAAGAATCAATGGTATTGAAGGAAGAAATCCAAGCTGTAATGAAAGCATTAGCCAAAACCCAGGCTCCAGGAATTGATGGATCACCAACTGAAATGTTTCAACAAGCTGACAAAGCACTGGCAGCACTCACTCGTCTATGCCAGTAATTTGGAAGACAGCTTCTGGCCGACTGACTGAAGAGATACACATTTGTACCCATTCCAAAGAAAGGTGACCGAATACAATGTGCAAATTAAAGAACAGTATCACTGATATCACATGCAAGTAAAAATGAGGAGGACTTGAAGCATGGAAGACCAAGGATTGCAGCCTTCAGTATAGATTACAACTCAATGTAAAGAAAACCAAAATCCACATACTGGACCAATAGGTAGCATCATGAGAAATGGAGAAAAGGTTACAGTTGTCAAGGATTTTGTCTTGCTTGGACACACAATCAATGCTCATGGAATCAGCAGTGAAGAGATCAAACAGCATATTATTTTAGGTGAATCTGCAGCATAGACCTCTTTAAAGAATAGCAAGGAGGTTACTTTGAGGACTAAGGTGATCCACGCCATGGTATTTTCAATTGCCACAGAAGCATGTGAAAGTTGGGTATTGAAAAAAGACGATGGAAGAAAAATCAATGCATTTGAACTATGGTGCTGCTGGAGAACACTAGAAGTATTATGGATTGCCAAAATAAAGACAAAACCAAACCCATAAACAGCTCTGTCTTGGAAGCAGTACAGCCAGAATGCTCCTTAGAGACCAGGATGGCGAGATTTCATCTCACACACTTTGAGCATGTTATGGGGAGATGAAGACATCGTAGCTTCCCGAGAGGAAGGAGCTCAATGCGATGGACTGACACAGTGGCTGCAGCAATGAGCTCCAACACCAGAACAACTGTGCGGGTGGCACGGGCTCAGGCAGTGTTTGGTTCTGTTGACCACAGGATTGCCTAGGAGTGGGAACTGACGTGATGGCACGGAACAATAACAACAACAACAACAACAACAGTAAGGGGCTTTAGAAAGTCGGTGGATAAATGGGGTTGAAAGACAATGGAATTTTTCCATGGACTTTTTGAAGCATGTACTTACCTTGTGCATTGGCTTACCCCTTCCCCACCAGTAAGAACAGGCATTTTGAACTATGTCATAACCCCTGTCAAGATCTACTGCCTCATAGTGACTCTGTGAATTGGCACCTATTTCAAAACCGTGAATTTTAGGTCATAACCCTAAGACGTAGACCATGATCTACAGCAACTCACTGCCATGGAGTCAATGCTGCCTCGTTGGGACTCTGCAGGACAAGGTAGACAGTTCACACTCGCTTCCCATGGAGTCTACCCTGACTCCTGCTGATGCCCACCTGTCAGAGTAGAATTGTACTCGCCAAGGCTTTCAAAGGCTGGTTTTTCATAAGTTGATCATGGCCTTTCTTTTGAGATTCTTCTAGGTGATTTGGAACTGCAAGGAGCCCTTCAGTTAACAGCTGAGTGCTAAACTGTTTGCGCCACTCTGGCACTGCGGCAGATAGAAGGCCTTTGCTCTGCTCTCAGTACTCCCCGTCCTGCCTTTGAGTTGGTAATTCACTGCAGTGTCTCAGACTACTTAGAGGTAAGTGGTTTCTGCGGAAGTACTCGGGATCAGGTTCAAAGTGGTGGTTAAAGGGAAGCACCAGGGTGGTTGGATTCAGTGGGTCAATCAGGAAGGCTTCCAACCAAGACCTTTCTCAGCTCCTATTGCTTAGCTGCACCTGTTAACTTCCTTAGATGGGCAGAGACCATCTTTTTACCCCCATTTTGTAATTAAGGAGAGAAAGGCAGATGCAGGTCAAATGCTTGTGGAATTAGAATGCAGGTCTTTAGAGAATGATTCCAAGGCTTCTTTCTTGATGTGAGCCCTTCTGAATCCTTGAATGCCAGCTCCTTCACAGGCTTGTCTCTGACCGTTCTGGGCTCAGAGACTTCTCCATCTCTGAACTTCTGGGCTGCATTTCATTTCTCCACAGAGCATTATCAGGTTCATGGCTCCGGGCTGAGTACACGTACA